GACCATATGGGTAGGTGTGATGGTCAGGTGTCCACCATCTTTTGGCCATAACGGTAGGTTTGATTAATATGTGTCCACCATCTTTTGGCCATATAGGTAGGAGTGATGTCACCTGTCCACCATCTTTTGGCCATGTAGATAGGTGTGATGGTCAGGTGTCCACCATCTTTTTGGCCACACATTGTAATCATGTGACCGGGCACATTACCTACATTCATCAGCCTTGTCTATCCAAAATCCAATCTCCAAGATTCTAGAACTCCACGAGCCAGATGGGAAAACGCGTCTCCTTCCACCTGCTCCTCGTCCCCCGCACGGAGAGCGAGAACAGCAGAATCCCTAATTATAAGCATCCTGCGGTGGCAGCCCACACCTTATCTCAGCCTCCAATCAGCACAACATTCACCACTTCTCCATTTCTATAGCGATGCCGAGAACGCCTACGAGCGACACCGCTACGGGAGACATCTGTTCCACAGAGCAATCAATACGTTCCTGGCAGAGAGAACGCGGGAACGCGGCACCAACAACCCACAGGTATCAGCTAAAGCTTTGTATCCTTGTCCATCCAGTCCTGAGAATTACACAGGAGGACTATAGTCAAGGGGCACACTGGTGTGCTCTTTCCATCCCCAACCAAAAGCAGCAGCAGAAGACTGATGAGGTCATCCCTCTGCTCACTCAGATTCTATCCTCTTGTCATCACAGAATACATTGGAAAATGTAACAATGCAGACAGAGCGGGATCACTCTGTGTCCATCACGTGGGCTTTGAAGGACGGTCATCTCAGGCCCTCCACCGCCCTACGAGAGGAGGGTGACCACACAGGAAGCAGCCGACATATAATCTGACTTCATGAGGGGGGAACGCTGGCGTCACAGGGCGACGACGACAAAGAGGCAGGTCACATGACACAACCATTGCCCCTCGGAGGGGATACTTTGTAACAATGTTCGGGATGTTTCGTACCTTTGATAGCGCCGATGAGCGCGTTGCCGTCCTTGATGACGTCCTTGATGAACTTGTTGGTGCGCTCCAGTTCCTGCTCGTACCCCTTCAGGCTCTCTCTGAACACCGGGCTGTCCAGGTAACAGTCGCTGAACTCCAGAGGTGGGTGACCCATGGCGAGTCCTGGGGGACGGGGAGACAACTGTCACTGGATCCAGATTTATAAACAATGTATCATCACCTGTCCATATTTGCATACAAGTGAACCCCCCAAATCTTCCACCTACTACACCCCAAAGTGACAACTGACGACAAAACCTTCTTAGTTTTAGGATGGAGCGGGGAGGGATCAGACCTCCCCCCCCCTCCCCCGGTCAGATTTTGACTGCTCTCTGTGCCCCCGTTAGGGAGATTCGCCCCCCTCTATGTGTCCTGGGGTCACCGTGGTCAACCCAAATTTTGGGTTGTCACCAGCACAGGAAGAGATGGGAAATCGTCCAATGGGAACACTAGTTCTCAGGGCCACCCAGGGATTTCCCTCTCACTTGCTGTTGTGGCTATCGGACAGGAAGTGAAGGAAAATCTTGCCAGTGGGGACACATGACAAAAACTGCTGACAGGGGTTACCTTTAAGGGATTTCCTCTTATTTCCTGTTGTGGCTATCGGACAGGAAGTAAGAGGAAATCTCCCCAATGGGGACACAGATGGTGAAAAAAGCCGACAGGTAGGTAGATTCACGCTCTCTGCGTGTCCTGGTGAATGTTATCACCGAGAGTGAAAGAAAACAAACATATTTTGGGTTGTCACCAGGACAGGAATAGAGGGGGACCCCGGAATATATAAACCTGAGAGAGCGCCCCAATATACACAACGCTGAACTGTATATGTAACTAGGCAACCCAATCAGCAATAGGGATGCTGTACCCCATAACAACCAGACTTCATACAATAAGGATGCTGTACCCCATAGCAACCAGCCTTCATACAATAAGGATGGATGTTGTACCCCATAGCAACCAGACTAAATACAAGGAAGCAGTATCCCATAGCAACCAGACATCATACAATAAGGATCCAGTACCCTATAGCAACCAGACTTCATACAATAATGATGCTGTACTCCATAGCAACCAGACTAAATAAAATAAGGAAGCAGTATCCCATATCAACCAGACGTCATAAAATAAGGATGCTGTACCCCATAGTATCCAGACTTCATAGAATAAGGAAGCAGTACCCCATAACAACCAGACATCATACAATAAGGATGCTGTACTCCATAGCATCCAGACTTCATAGAATAAGGAAGCCGTACCCCATAACAACCGGACTTCATACAATAAGGATGCAGTAACCTATAGCAACCCGAGATGACAGCATATCTCTGCGCAGTGACCGGAGATGTCCATGGAGTGAGCCCCTGGAAGCACTGACATCTCCGGGATGGAGAGGCCTCCATGTCAGGGATGAGAGGAGCCCCAACACCCCGCACACAATACCATCATCACCCCTCCCTATGGAAGAATCCTGAGGACGGACATGAGGTACCTGGTCTTCGGGTTCGCTCGGCTCTCAGGCGATGATGAGACGAGATCCCCCCGTCATCCCCGTCCTCCTCTGACAGATCTCCGTCCTGCCTTCCCAGATCCTTCCAGGAGACTCCCCTCCCCCCTCCCGGGTCACGGCTCTGCCCCCTCTCCCCTACTCTACATCCGGGGTCACCCATCCCTATCATCCCCACTTACAGCTCTCCTTCACCTCATCATCTATCCATCCATTTCTTTCCTCTATACCCAATATAATCAGTGATGGAGGTCTCTGCCCCTGTACCCAATATAATCAGGGATGGAGGTCTCTGCCCCCTGTACCCAATATAATCAGGGATGGAGGTCTCTGCCCCCGCACCCAATATAATCAGGGATGGAGGTCTCTGCCCCTGTACCCAATATAATCAGGGATGGAGGTCTCTGCCCCTGTACCCAATATAATCAGGGATGGAGGTCTCTGCCCCTGTACCCAATATAATCAGGGATGGAGGTCTCTGCCCCTGTACCCAATATAATCAGGGATGGAGGTCTCTGCCCCTGTACCCAATATAATCAGGGATGGAGGTCTCTGCCCCTGTACCCAATATAATCAGGGATGGAGGTCTCTGCCCCCTGTACCCAATATAATCAGGGATGGAGGTCTCTGTATCCGGGATAATCAGGGATGGAGGTCTCTGCCCCCTGTACCCGGGATAATCAGGGATGGAGGTCTCTGCCCCCTGTACCCAATATAATCAGGGATGGAGGTCTCTGTATCCGGGATAATCAGGGATGGAGGTCTCTGTACCCGGGATAATCAGGGATGGAGGTCTCTGTACCCGGGATAATCAGGGATGGAGATCTCTGTACCCGGGAGAATCAGGGATGGAGGTCTCTGTACCCGGGAGAATCAGGGATGGAGGTCTCTGTACCCTGTACTCGGGATAATCAGGGATGGAGGTCTCTGTACCCTGTACTCGGGATAATCAGGGATGGAGGTCTCTGCCCCCTGTACCCGGGATAATCAGGGATGGAGGTCTCTATCCCCTGTATCCGGGATAATCAGGGATGGAGGTCTCTGTCCCCTGTACCCAATATAAATCAGGGATGGAGGTCTCTGCCCCCTGTATCCGGGATAATCAGGGATGGAGGTCTCTGCCCCTGTATACTACCCAATATAATCAGGGATGGAGGTCTCTGCCCCTGTACCCAATATAATCAGGGATGGAGGTCTCTGCCCCTGTATACTACCCAATATAATCAGGGATGGAGGTCTCTGCCCCTGTATACTACCCAATATAATCAGGGATGGAGGTCTCTGCCCCTGTACCCAATATAATCAGGGATGGAGGTCTCTGCCCCTGTATACTACCCAATATAATCAGGGGTGGAGGTCTCTGCCCCTGTATACTACCCAATATAATCAGGGATGGAGGTCTCTGCCCCTGTATCCAATATAATCAGGGATGGAGGTCTCTGCCCCTGTATACTACCCAATATAGTCAGGGATGGAGGTCTCTGTATCTGGGATAATCAGGGATGGAGGTCTCTGCCCCTGTACCCAATATAATCAGGGATGGAGGTCTCTGCCCCTGTACCGAATATAATCAGGGATGGAGGTCTCTGCCCCTGTACCCAATATAATCAGGGATGGAGGTCTCTGTATCCGGGATAATCAGGGATGGAGGTCTCTGCCCCTGTATACTACCCAATATAATCAGGGATGGAGGTCTCTGCCCCTGTACCCAATATAATCAGGGATGGAGGTCTCTGCCCCTGTACCCAATATAATCAGGGATGGAGGTCTCTGTCCCCAGTAACCGGGATAATCAGGGATGGAGGTCTCTGTCCCCAGTACCCGGGATAATAAGGGATGGAGGTCTCTGTACCGGGGATAATAAGGGATGGAGGTCTCTGTACCGGGGATAATAAAGGATGGAGGTCTCTGCCCCGTGTACTCGGGAGAATCAGGGATGGAGGTCTCTGTACCCGGGAGAATCAGGGATGGAGGTCTCTGTCCCCTGTACTCGGGATAATCAGGGATGGAGGTCTCTGTCACCAGGAGGGAAGCGGTGTATCTCTGTACATTGCGGCATCTGTCACTTCAATAGAGCAAATGAGAGGCCGGATGGTCATCATTCACTTCATATAAAACGTTCTATCCTTCCAGGAAGGAGGAGACAATGGGCTCCATTCACAAAGCTAACGCACCAGGAAAAGGATTCGTATATTGAAAGTGACAGTTGAGTCCAATGAGATCTGAGAATGACAGTCACATGGGCAAAATAAAGATCCCTATTCTTGAATTGACTGGTCTCATCTGTGCCCCCTCCTGTAATAAAGACCAGTCACTGCATCTCTCTCCTTGTGCAGGATCACTGGTCATGTCTCCGCCCCCTCCTGTAGTTTTCTGCAGGTAGCCTGTAGTGGGCGGAGCCTGATCCAGCAGTCAAGCTGCAGTAGCTGTACAGGAAATGCTGTGTATGGACTCTGCACGGTGCCTCTTCTCTCGCCCTGTTTTCCGGGTGCAGTTCCCGCAGTGTTTGCATGAATCAACATTACACACAATGACTGCACTGCCACACAGCAGCCAGTTCAGGATTAATGGGCGATACCACTCCCTTCGACCGCTGCATTATGGGAGTCCTCGGAACAAGGTGCGTACACTCCCTGAGACATGATGAAGACTGGGGGGGGGGGG